TTATTTGGGAAGAGGAAGGCAAAGACGCTTCTTCCTCTTTGTGCACCCACCTCCGGAGGTTTTGGGTCCCTTTGGGTGCTCCGGGTGGTCTCAGAGTCCACCCAGGTGCTGCCTTCACCAAATTTCCCCACTTTCTTCCCCAGTTCCCACCTCCCTCAGTCATTAAGATCCCTATGGAGCCCCTGCCATCGCAGCTCCGAAATGGGGCTCCCCATTGCCTCAGCCGTAAGTAAAGAGCTCAGGAGGTTCTCGTATTCCCTACCGCTTCCTAACCCCCCTGCAATGGGATCCGCTTGGCCACCGATGGCACTAACCCTGCTAAAAGACGCAGCCTGGATCCGAGCTGCCAAAGTGGGGAGGAGGGTTTGCTGTATTTAAAGCAGGTTTGAGAGGATGCAGCAGGCTCAGTGCTGCTAATAATTTTGTATTCCAGGTGGCTGGGAAGCCAGGACTCTCCTGGGTCTCCCCCCGAGCTGCTGATGATGGAGATTTTAAAAAAATATATATATTTGGGAAGGTTTTGAGCCCCCAAAAGTGGGGGATGCAAAGCTTGTGGTGGTGGTATCCTGGCTGCAAAAAAAAGCAGATGTGTTCAATTTGGCTCAACCTTCTGCCTGAAACATATGTGAGCTGGTGCAAAGCCAGCCATGACCAAAAAAAATTCAGAATAAATCTGGGGGAGTTTATTCCAGGTTGGCACCAGGTTGCATCATGATGCCAGCAAGTTTTAACATGATAATTCATTGACTGTCCTCAAGCTGCTGCTAGCAGGGGCTGGTGGGGCCTTTCTCTTTCTCTGATCACCCCAAAAATCAACATTTCTTGGGAGCTTTTATCCTCCTCCCACTGTCCGGAGGATGCTAGACCCAGTAGCAGGTTGGAGGTGGGGGATGAATGGTTTTCTGGGGGCTCCTTCCTCACCCGGGAAATGTTTCACCTCTGTGTCCCCCCAGGAAAGAGGTCCTCCACCTGGAGCTTTGCATTCTGATTCCTCCCCAAATGGTTCAGACCTGGATCGCAGGTAGACGACACTGAACAGGCTCCCCTACCCACTCCCCCATCCCCAGGGGACCCGCACCTGCTGTGGGAAACATTTTCAGGGTCACTGGTCGATGCTCCCGGTTGAGCATCGCTTGCTCGAGCCAGTTGCCATCATCCTCGGGCATTTCTGAAATATCTGAGTATATTTTCGCAGCATCCCTCTGTATTTTGGGTGCTTTTGTTTGCTGGTGCTCACTATTGGGTTGTTGGGAGCGGGGCTGCATGGGATGATGCATCCCAAGCCTGGCACGAGAGGGTTTATAGCAATAAAAATGCCTCTGGGTAACAGCCACAGGGATTTTTAGGATTGGGATGTACATCTGAATCCTGAAAGCTTGGGATTATTGTCCACCTGCAGCTGCAAATTCTGCAGATTGTCCATATTAAAGGCAAAAATATCATATTTTTATGAATTTTTACTGGCGGTAGCTTCATCTGGAGCCCTTTGCTGGGGGTGCTGGGGTGGTTTTGGGGTGTGGGTACCCAAGCCCTGATGCTCACTTCCCTGTCTCCTCCTCCTCAGTATTATGCTTCACCTGAAGATTTCGTGCCCATCATCTCCCGCATTTAACTACTCCCAAAACCCTATCTGCGCCGTGCCCCAGGTGAAGATAGAGATGGAGTCAGACTACAAGGACACCGACACCGACAAACCACCTCGGGACATGGGCAGTGAGACCACGCTATAGTCCTGCGCAGTGCTTCCTCTGCGATTTTTATATATATATATA